ACCATACAGATTACAATTACTAAGTCATATGAAATAAATGTCTGTTCACACCATGGACTATGGAAATAAGCTACCACAGGAATTATATTTGAAACTATATATATTTGAAACTATATTATATTTGAAACTAGCGACTCACCCTCGCTCCGCTCGGGTTCGTCCCTATTTACGTTTTAACGTTTAGTATAGATTTCTTAGAATTGAGACATTTTCCCGCAATAAAAAGTATTCTATATGTTGACCCGGATAGTTATCATCGTACCAAATTTCATCAAAATCCCTCCAGTGGTTTTTCCGTGATGCGGTAACAGACAGACAGACAGACAAAAATTCTAAAAAGTATAGATTCGGCCTCTGTATCGATAATAATGTCTATTTCAATAAGATTTTCCATAAAATATTTAATGTACAGATTCGACTTACACTTTTATTATATGTATACATTAAAAACCCATGCCATAAATTAACAAGCTTTAATGTGAACGTAAAGTTAAACGATGAATCTCACGGACATTGTCAAGAGTTATCAACTAACTTGGTATCTATGAGTTGGGCACTTCGTACCGCTTTGTGGTAAATTGTTTCTAAGTTTATTGAACGTTGTATGGGACATGGTAAGTTAAGATGACTATTATGAAGACTTTGAAATATGTTTGTAGACCTTTATGGTGTGCTGGAAATATTTAATGTTCTATGTTAGAGGTTGGGACTTATTTGATTGTATCTTTTCTTAAAGTTTACTCGTAAATGTGAAAAGTTGAAGTCTATATAATCGTATATAAAACAAAGTCGGTTTTGTTACAACACTTATAACTCGAGAACTGCGCTGGACAGGTTTTTATGTTCTTTATTTTGTTAGATTTGTCTTCACCCCGAATAGCAGAATAACTATTAAAACATCGGAAAAATCACGAAAAAATTAATTGAAAAAAATCTATTTCACAATATTTTATAATACAATGTGTTTCTTATGGGAAATATCTGATGGAAAAACTAACAATTGTAAAGAATTTTAATATTCATTGTAAATTAAACGAAAAATCGAACCCGTTCGGTAAAATATTATTTAATTTTCATTATATTCTTCAAAATGTTATTATGATCAAATCTATTAAATACGATAATTGGATATTTAGTACGAGTATTTATTAATGGGTTAAATAATTTACACATTTGTCATTTTCGAAGATTAGAAAGCGGTATGGGAATTGATGTTTAAGTTCCGTTTCCGTTTTCCGTTAATGTTCAATTTTCAAATGAAGTCACATATTCGTATAAGAAATACAGAGTTTTAACAATATTTTAGTTCTTTTTATACAACCATTTCAGCGATCACAAGAAAGCGACTTATAATATAAGATTTTATAATCAATACTGTACAATATATTTACATTACTTTATACTTCACTAAACGTCTTTCATTGTGACTTAGATATAACAACGTAACAGAAAGAATCATTTGGCGTAGAATTCTAAAAAATTGATATAATATGTTCCAACTACCTAATTTTCTATTACAATATTTTTCTTAAATGTTTAAAATATGATTATTAAGAGTTAAGTTTAGTTATGAGATTGTTAAATAAAAATGTCTTCTAAAATCGAACTTTTAGAATTATAACAATTTAAATAATTATAAATTACTAAAAAATACTGGCAAATTTTCAATACTAGTGACATTATCTATACAGATAAATAAAATTGGAGGGTCTGTTTGTAATGTCAAAATAACAGCTTTTCACTAAATGCGTATGAAAGTATAAACAGCATTTATAAGAAAACACCATTTTTTTGTCTGTCTGTCTGTTTGTTCCGGCTAATATCCAAAACGTCTGGACCGATTTTGACGGGACTTTCAATGGCAGATAGTTGATGTTATAAGGAATAACTTAGGCCACTTTAAAAATGAAATTATGAATGTAATCCGTGTATCTATGGACGCACCCGAGCCAAGCGATAGTTATAAGTCGCTAGTTATAAATATTACATAAGAAATTCTTATAGAAAATTGCAACTACGTTTTGAATTTTACTACAGATTCAATAAACACAATCGCTGTGATGCTTTAATTAGAGCATGCCAATTATCACATGACGTAGCTTAAACTATGCACTATACAGTTTATATTTCATTCATATTTAAATATATTCTATTTCTGTTTGGTTATAATTAAATGGCAGCGAACGCAAAGTAACTAATGATTCAGTATAGCTTTGGCTTATAAAAGAGAGAGAGAGAAGATATTATCTTTATTATTATTGCTATCTCTCTTACTCTAAAAAAAGAATCTGAAAATTTTCGATTCTAAATGTAAATAAAATTGAAATATCTTTTTGTATTTAAACAATTTTTTTGTAAAATGTTGCATTACAAAAAAAAGTATACTTTAAGTACAAAGTAAATAAATTTAGGGTTACATATGGAAAAAATATATAGGAATTTAATCATTAATTATTACTTCATCGAGTGTCAATCCCACCACAGATATCTGCATCGACGCACGAAGCTTGAACGATGGGACATACATCGGTTTTTTGGTGAACATTGTTTTAAATTGACCCAGTTACGTCGAAATCTAACTATTAACAGCATAGCTTGATTCTTTTTAAATTGTTTTAGCGTTTTCCTGAAGCTCCGCCATCGTTTAAGTTTTTAGGCCACTCATGAAGGTTAAGTGTAATGTAAGATTTGGAAGATAGCCCTCAATAAATAGGCTATAAAAGTAATAAAAAAAAACATATCGGACCAGTAGATATATAGATTAGCATGTCTTTATCTATTAGTACCTATAGCTTATAGAATTTGGAAAGCTATTGAAAAGCGTTTGAAGAAAAGGCGGAGAGACTCGGAAAACTAGTATTTCAATGGATTCAAAAAGCACGTAAGTTTTTGGTAAAATGTCGATACCGTGAATACTTAATGCTAATATTACATAATTTTCACAGAAAATGTATTACGTTGTAAATATTCGAGTGTTAAATAAGTTATTCGAAACGGACGCTGCTTATAAGTCGTTCTTTACTTAAGAAATGCTATTTGCTTTCCATTACGTGGGAGCAAACATAAATATATATGTATATATATGTACATATATCAATTAAGGGTGGTTTCGTGGTAAAATATGCAGTGAAAGCTTTTGATATGCCAAATGTTCTTTATAGGCTAAGAGCTATGTTTTATAAAATTCTAGTATTTTTTTAAATATAATTACAGTTTTTATATGATTTCTTTTTTATTTTTTAAATTGTTGGGTCTAGAAGCATAGACAAGCACAATAGTTTTTTTAAAACGAAATAAAATTATTAATATTGATTGTGGGCTATTGCGCTTAATACAATAAATTATTTTATAAAAGATAACACATTTTGGGATTGATGTGACCGTCTATTTCTTCGATTTCGATCCAGGCTATTTATATGTTCAATCAATTATTATTATTCATAATTTTATTAAAAATAGATAAAAAACATGATATTTTACTTTCGTTTAGATTCTTTCACTAATTTTCAGGATTGAAGCTTATTTTTCCGGAATTTTCGGTAAAATCGTGACGTACGGTTGAAAAAAATGTAATAATTTAATTATTAATTAAAAATGTTGAATTAAAAAACATATCCATTAAAGGGTTAAACAGGAAATGACAGTTTGAGATGAAGCTGAGTGAGAAAGAGAGTAAGAAAGAAACATAATAAGAAAACTTCCCATTTGCTTAATAACATTTCAATTTATATTCAATTCAATTGCGTTGAATCTAGAGCTATAGAACGTATTTAAAAAACAATGCTATTTTTATTTTTAACCAATATTTCACAGGTAGAGTATTTTGAATACTGCGTCAAATGGCTAAATTTGTATAACATATAAATTTATTTACTTCTGTATTGCATTATTATTTAGAAATTCCATGTTCTTTAAGATATCGTAAAATTTAATAGTCAGCATACTGAAATTAAAGCCATTAGAAATAATGGGTTTTAATAATGCAAAGTCAAAGACGAGCCTTTGTGTAAATGGCTCCTCGACTATTATCATCATGCGGCACAACAAAAGTACTATTATTGCGGTACAGTTCGTTTCGTAGTTGCAATTTTCCTTTCATGGTGCCTTTAATTTCTAAAGAAATTCGTAGTCACGTCAATATTTAAACACAAAATGTTTAGCTATTTCTATTATGGCAGCAGAAATGTGAAATTCATTTCGAGCTAGATTTTGTAAATTAAAACGATATGGTGAGAATATTTATTGTTAGAGTTATTTTATAGTTAGGTTATTTGAAAAAAAATAATTTTGAATATTTTTTTACGTTCTTCTTTCAGTTTAACTATAATATAGTGAAAGATTTATAATTTTTTTCATCCATATTCATTAAGTATAATGAGGCTTAAAATAGTCATGAAAAGTTTATACCAAAAATCAAACACGACATGAATTTACATACCAACAAAAATCTCAAACTTTATTTACATTTAAAACTATGTATATTAAATTATTTCAAGGAAGTAACTTTGATATGCATTTTTAGAACTAACAAACGTCTTAACAATATTAATTTATTTAGTATTAAATCTATGAATCACAGTACAGACTAGCAATTACAGAAAACCTATAATACTGGAGCAGCTAAAAGACAATTTTGTATGAACACAGCGCATTATATCTTAGTAAGGAAAATTTTACTTAAGAAGCATTTATATTTCGTCGTTATCTCCTCTACAATACTAACTAACTAAAATATCTCTTCGAAGAACCCTTTCAATTGTAAGAGTCTACGATATTATAAATGGAACCAACATACAAAGTCTGAACATAATTGCTCCTTAAATTTCGCGATAAAGTTTTACAATTAACCTGTCAGCTATTAAAATTTTCTTTATGCTATATAAATGAGAAGTAACGGTCACGCTAAAAAGTTGCAACCAAACTTAAAGCAATCAAAGAAAATGTTGAGATTTAACGAAGATTTAAAAACTGTTTAAAATGGAACGTAAGTACAGTCTTTAAACGGTCACTTCTTCAGTGAACCGGCTTTTATCGTCTAAGTTGATGACGATCGCGTGGGTCCTGGCGTGTCCTGATCTGACACCCCTAATAGTTTCTGAACTGCTTGGACTAGATCTAGTTTCGCTTCGATCATTCTTTATGCCATTTCCCGTCATCTCCGGTGGCCGTATATCACTGCAGCCGGCTTCACCGGAAATTTTGAACACACCATTTTGTTTTTCGTCTTTGGTTTCTTCGGTTGTATCTGTTCTACGTTTTGGTGAATCTGTTGTTATGTCGGTTTGGCTTTGTTCTGCGTTACTATTTTCAGTACTTTTTGTTGGTGTAAAGTTTTTTTGTCTGTATGCAGGTGGAGCTTCGAAAGGCAGATCTCTTCCACTACTACTGGATTCCTCCCCCGGTGTAACAGTACACATTAGTCTTCCGGCCACTGCACTAAATACTGTATTGAGTTTGAGTGGTGCAGAGTCTGTAGCACCAGGTTTTCGTTCATGTATTGTGGCGGCGTCTTGCATTGCAGATATTATTTTGGAGAGATGAGCGCCAGAACCACATCGCTCTCGAAGTTTTTCTAGTTGATTGCAGATTTTCTTAAATTCCTCCTTTGAAGAAAGATAACTTTTGTGAGCAAAATATGTTATTGAAATTAAACTTATTTACATTTGACGACACGATTGGTTCAGTTCGTAGTGACCCTACTTGCTGTGCCAACGGTCGCCGGTCCGAGTCCCGCTGGGGCATTAATTTGTGTGATGAGCACGAATGATTGTACTCCAGTCATAGGTGTTTATAAATATAATACATATTATAAATATAATATGTATGTATTTATTATATTTACATTTTTAATATGATTTTATAAATAGTAAAATATATTATGTTAATGTATGTTTACCTCTAAATCTCTTTCCGTCATGTTATCACAGAAGCGGGTACTGCGGTTAGTAGTCATTGTGTACGTGGACTCAGCAGGTCTCGATCTGAATTTGCCTGTTTTTTCCCTATCATCTTTCCCCTGACCCCTAATCACCATATATGCCTAATAACAAAAAAAAAAAAACAAACAAATATTATTATAATACTTTAGATTTATTAAATTATTTAATTAAAAAACATTAGATTTATTTGTATACGAGATTTGTTGCGAATTCTTTACCTATTATTTAACTTTAAATAAGAATTTTGAACATTGCCAATATAAGTTTATATGAAAAGAAGTATGAAAAAATAACATTTATTTTAATACGTATTCATTTTATGTATAGGTACCTACATTTTGAAGCTTAGTATGGAACAGATAAACTATACATATATAACAGGTATGATGAGTTTTATACCTTACTTGAGAAATGATTGATTCTCCATACAAACTTCCACCTACCTTTTCACTAAAAATCCTATATCCTTCCCAAGATCTCAAATTATCTCCATACCTTTAATCTAAATCGGTTCTGCGGATTAAGTGTGAAAAGGAAACAAACAAACAGACAGACAGACATACAGAGTTACTTTCGCATTAATAAAGTATAAAGACGGAGTGGCTTTATTTACTGCGCGCCGTTTATTTCCCAGTAGACATACTCGTACATACATATCTAGAATGTTTATACTGCCTACATGATGTTTGACTTATTTGGTTATGTCAATATACAAGGATAACAGTTTACATTCATAACTGGAGTAGCTTAATACCCACGCTTAGGTTCTTTTAAAAATTTAATAGAAGAATTGTAAGTCATGGTTATTTTTATTGTTGTTAGTTAAAAATCTCTACTGTCTTAGATTTACCCGAATATTTGACATTTTAAATAAAACTATCTTTTTGGTTTTGGAAAACAAAAAAATCTGAAAAGATTTACCAAATAAAAATCTTAATTTAAGCTCTACAAGTCGTTATTAATTCAAAATGTATGTCGCTCAAACTAAAAAGAGGCCATAAAGGTCTAAAATTTCAAAATTATAGATACGAGTATGTGCTAGAAATAGATTTTCTGTTTGACCTCTAAAAGGGTTAAAGATAGTTTTGTATTAACACATCGCTATATCTTAGTCAAGGTAAACAAAAGCAAAAGTTTTGGCTAACAGGCAATTATATGTTGTGCTTACATACATATATATATATATATATATATATATATATATATATATGTATATATATATATATATATATACATATATTTTATACTAACAATGCCAACTAAACGATCGCTTCAATAAACCATTTCAAAACAAACGAATATGTTAACGAGAATTTTTTCTGTCGAATATAGAAAAAAGATCTGGCAATTTTCTTTTAGTGTAATAACTCTTACACTAGGTATATGAGATATGTATAAGAATAAGTAAAAATAATACTTTTTTAGATTTACACGAATATTTGATATCTAATACTAATATTATGAAGAGGTAAAGTTTGTGAGTTTGTTTGTCGGATGTAATCTCTGGAACTACTGAACCTATTTAGAATCTATGAAGAATCAATCATATCTTAAGTAAGAATTGTGAAACTGAAAATATGTATGTTCTATAATATATAGTATATCTATTTCATGTTAGCCGTTAAAACGTACCGCTTTTCGAATGCTTTACAGCAATCATGCGTCCTGTAACCATGATTGCTGTAAGGCATTCGAAATGTCAGGAACCAAATGCCAAAATATTTTGTTTTTTATCAAAATAAATATTTTTTTTTGTTTTTTATCAAAAAAAAAATTTTTTTTGATAGTTTTATTTAAAATAAGTAAACACTTACCTTACTACCGAATATGAAACAAAGCAATAACGTCACAGTCAGTTGTGTGTGACAGAAGAATATTATGTACAAGAGATCAGGGTTTGCCGGTGACTGGAGGAATAGCCTGTAAGATAAAGACTTAATTATAATCTTAATAATTATGAAAGTTTCTAAAAAAAAAAACTAGAGGGGCAGTCCTCTTGGCCGGGATAGATAGTGGATAAACAGTAACTTTTAAGCTAATACAGGATATATGTTATCCTGCATTCATAAATCAATCCATAGAATCGTTACAACGTGAAGTAAAAACACATTTAATCAAACATAACTTTCGCATTTATTATATTAGCGTTATCTCTTGACTACTTCGGTCTAGCTAGCATATATGGCTGTAGACCGGAGGTCTTGGGTTCGAGTACCGGGTCGGACCAAGTTTAGTTATTAAATTTTTCTGCCAAGAAATATCAGCTACAGGGAAGTTAGTCGATCATCTTCGTGCTTAGGAGAGCACGTTAAGTCGCAGATTAAATTATCTGTTCTATTCCCACATAAGTTATAATTTAAATAAACAATTTTATTTAAAATAAAAAATATTCGAGGTAGGTGCACTTTATAAACTCAAAACGTTACAATCCTTAAACAACCTTAACAAATATAACATCATAAAAGCTGTATAAATAGCTCAGTCGTTCTGTTAGCCCCCAGCTAAGCTTTTATTATGGACTAGTGACTCACACTCGCTTCGCTCAGGTTCGTCCCTACTTACGGTTTAACGTTTAGTATAGATTTCTTAGAGGTGAGATATTTTCCTGCAGTAAAAAGTATCCTATATGTTGACCCGGATAACCAGCTATTATCATACCAAATTTCATCAAAATCCCTCCAGTGGTTTTTCCGTAAAGCGGTAACAGACAGACAGATAGACAAAAATTCTAAAATCTATAGATTCGGCCTATGTAATAATGTCAATTTCAATAAGATTTTCCAAAAAATATTTAATCTACAGATTCGGCTTAGTTACAATTTTATTATATGTATAGATTTGATGTTTTATTTAATGGATATAGAATTCGGTATATATATTAATAATATTTTTGTTAGTCTCAATTGTTTCTGAATCATATTATTAAATAAGGCAACGACTGTAAAGCGAGATTCAAAGAGTAATTAGTAATTTTATCGCAGCCTTTAATTAATAGTGCGTAATAACAACGTGTGCTGTTTTCTAGTGAAATTCTGTAATATGTTAAATAATTTTCGCGCTTACAAAATTACATACTTTCATAACATAAAAAGAAAAGCGTATGTGTACTTATGTACGTACATAGGAAGTTATACTTCTTTGTTTCTTTTTAGAGCATTTAAATAAAAACCTTTTCTTGCTGTAGCTAATAACGACTCATATCATACTGTAGTCTAAATCTGACGCATCGTAAAAAAATCGCTCTCATCATTTTTTCATAGCGCGCCAAAAGAAGTATACTAATAATACTTTCTTAGATTTACGCGAATATTTGACATTTTTTGAAAAGATTTTTGAAAAGATAGTTTTATTTAAGAAGTATACTAACTTCAACAATATGTTATTTAAAATGTAAACAATAAGTAATTAAAAGTAACTATATGTAGGAAGACTTATTGTTTAAGAAATCATATAGGCTTTATTATTATACAGGTTTTATCTATATGCTTGGTATTGACTATTTAATAGTATTGAATTACAATATTTATTTTTGAGTCTTATGTGAGCTTTTTGTGATAAAATGTGGAAATGTCATGACAAACATGGTGAAAGCTTTTATCAACATATTTAATGTATCGGAAGAGATGCCAAAACAAACAAACTGGCATTTTAGTTTAGTTACCTAAATACTGAAGATAAATATTCTGAAAATAATTGCTAATTGTAACTTGTTTATTTTATATGAAAACTAGGGACTCATCCTCGCCCTGCTCGGGTTCGACCCTACGTTTTAACGTTTAGTATAGATTTCTCAGAGATGAGTACTAGCTAACATCATACCAAATTTTATCAAAATCTGTCCAGTGGTTTTCTCGTGAAGCGTTCCTAGATAGACAGACTGACAAAAAATTTCAAAACTATAGATTCAACCTCTGCATCGATAATATTGAGTATTTCAATAAGATTTTCCAAAAAAAATATTTATGTACAGATTCGACTCAGTTAGAATTTTATTATATAGATATTTGACATATAACGTTTTATATTCATAATGTTTGATTTATAGGCATAAAACACATTTTACTTACCCATCCTGGTAAACCAATAATGATACACGACAAAAAACGTAAAAAGGGACGTTTTTGTTGACCCACGCTTTAGGATAAACTCCATAAATTACAAATACAATATTTATTCGGTATTTTCTCTAAGAAATCTTGTCAAAAAATACTATTTCATTACTCGGTTTAAGACCATAAGTTGGATGGGGAATATAGAACTGTCGTTGAAGTCAAATGATGCTGCTGCCAATGTCATGAAGAAAATATGCTAATCTAATATTATTATTTTTAATACATGTTATAGAAAAACTCAATGTTTTAGTACCAATATTCTTTGTTATTTATAAACTGTTGTAAATAATGTCCTTTTGAAAATTAACAATTAGATTCGGCACAGATTTTTTTTTTGCTTCTTATTGAACATATTGCGCTCATGGCCGGTATTTTAATCAACTAATTATGATACTACTAGCGGCTCACCCTCACTAATCTATCCCTCGGGAACCATATATTTTTTCGAGATAAAAAGTATTATTCCGTGTTATTCCAGACTATAATCTATCTCTGTGCCAAATTTCATCCAGATCCGTTCAGCCGTTCTGGCGTGAAAGAGTAACAAACATACATCCATACAAACATTCTTACAAACTTTCGCGTTTATAATATTAGTAGGATTTTTAGCTTTTTTTTTATTATTTTCTGCCAGTTATACCTATATTATTTTTTGTCCTTAAAGATTTATATTTTCAAATATTAAGCAAAATATGTACGACAAAAATCGCCGAATTCTTTTTCAAGTAAATTCCTTAACATTTCCTTTGAGATGTTAAAAATAAAACAATGACACGTTTACAACAATCCGATTACCACCAAAAAGATTCACTGGCATTTGAATGTTAGGTCCCGAAATAAATTTAGTGAGACCATGAAATTAGATTTCACGAGGGCCGTTTAACTGTCAGTACCTTTTCAATTTCAACCTGAATTATACGCCTACGAGTTCTTTATAGAAAAATACAGTCGAATTGAGAACCTCCTCCTTTTTGAAGTCGGTTGAAAAGGCATTATTAACGTCTGTGTAAAACGATACTGTAATTTTTTTTTCTATTAAAATTACAAGTAAGATTTTTACTTCATATTTTTTTAAGAAATCTGGCCAAGAAAAGAAATCTAAGTTACTTAGACGACAAAAAAGTCTTCGGGCTAATGAGGTATTTGGGGGCTTAGTGTGTGTTTTATGAATTATATTTTTTTATTTGTATAATTCAGCTGTTACTATATGAGAATTTCATTTGAAAGATAACCAAACTAATTAAATTCAATATGAAGTGCATTCTTAGTTTACGTGGGGTATAAAATGTTTTTTTTAGACCTGGCTGACATAAAAAAAGTGGAAATATTCAATAGGGGTGTATCTATTCTGTGTATGTTACACGATACCTTTGAAAATTGTAATTCCATTTCATAATTTGACGACACGTTTGGCTCAGTGTGTAGTAACCCTACTTGCTATGCCAGCGGTTGCGGGTTCGAATCCCGCTGGGAGCTTTCATTTGTGTGATGAGCACGAATGTTTGTACTCCAGTCATGGGTGTTTATATTTATAATATGTATGTATTTAAAGTTATGTATATGTAGTGTATCAACTATCTGGTATCCATAACACCAGTTAGCAGTCGTCACTCGACTGAGACACTTGTACATATAGTTAACGTCAGTTTCTTGCCGACGGAACTGGTTTGACCGGTAACTCGTGTGCGTCTTACCAATGCAGCGTATAATAAAATATTACTATGAGTGATGACAATATAGAACCGTGCAGTATTCCATTACTGCGTGATAATGTCGAAGATTTAGACAGTTATGATGACGTCATGAATAGTACAGAAAGAGAGGAAAGAGTATTTTTGAAAGAAAATGAAGGAAATAGAGAAAAAAAGAGACAGTTAGAAAATAGTGAGGAGAGCGAGACAGGGGATGCTGAAGAAGGATGGACCAAGGTTCGAGGAAAAGGGAAGAGAACATGTCTTCGAAGTGAGATTGACGTGAATGTGAGCAATCATAATTTTGAAATATATATCTCCTCTAAAGATAAGTTGCCCAAACAATTCGCCCTAGCAAGAACTTTTCAACAGCTCAATATCACTAGCATCAATCACGTTAAATACATAACACCCTATAAAGTGCGGTTGCATCTGGAGAACGAGGAGACTATGAAAAATATTTTGGAATGCGAAGAGTTAATTCGTAAAGGTTGGAGAATATATAAAGCTATGGAAGTGTCATATTGTTATGGTGTTATTAGAGATGTTGACCTTGATTTGAGTGAAGAAGAAATTTTGAATAATATATCTTGTCCTTTTTCTATTGAAATCCTATCACTTAAGCGACTTAATAGGTTTGACAGAGATAATGGAGGCTGGCGACCTAGCGAATCAATTCGCGTATGTTTTAAGGGGTCGTCCATCCCAGCTTTTTGTCCTTGGGTTTGGCTTAAGGATTTCGGTTGAACCATTTGTTTTTCAAGTTTCTCAGTGCTCGTTGTGTTGGAAATTTGGACATACTCGTAAAACGTGCTCAGCTAAGAAGGTTGTCTGTCCTAAGTGTGGAAATAACCATGAAAATTGTGAAACTCAAATATTTAAGTGTGTCAATTGCTCGGGAAATCATATAGCCCTTTCTAAAATTTGTCCAACCTTTTTAAAAGAAAAAAAAATTCGGGAAATTATGGCGGATTTTGGCTGTACGTTCAGAAAGGCTTTAAATGTTTACGCATCGACTTTTACACCACAAAAACCTATCGAACGAGAAGTGAGTATTCAACCAACCACATCTTATGAGAATAAGAATCCTTTGGGCTTTAACCAGGGCTCACCTACT